AGTCCCCCTGCAAGTTCTTATTAACATGCACAGAGAAAAAAAGTTCTCTGCTGGGGCAGATAGGAAATGACAGAAATCCAGCACAAAATAAATCCTTGGACAGACAAGGGTTTCCTTGCTTTTGATTTATGCTTTTCTTGGTTCCACGTCTTGTCCAGCTCAGACTCAGATCTATTTCCAAGCCTTTGAGGAGCCTCAATTGGATGGAGCTCCAAGCAATCAGGTCTGGGGGAAGGTGTCCTGCCCATGGCAGGGGCTTAGAACAAGATGAATTTAAGAGCCCTTCCAACCCAAACCATTCCAGGATTGCACAGTTCTATGAAATACATAATTTTAAGGTAATGCCAGAAATTCTGGAAGCTGAAATAGTACAGGTCAATCTATTTTTGTCCTATTAATTGTCAGTCCATGTAATTAATCCCTGGGGTACCTGAGACCAGCAGGGAGGCCCTTTAAGCTGGGTTTTGGGGCTTGCAAGGGAAACTGTGCAAGCTCCAGTGCCCTCGTTCCCATGCTGGAGCAGCTTTACAGTGCCCAGTCTTGTCAGCAGCAATTACAGCAGTGCAGCTCTGCTAGCAAAGCCTCTAAACATCACTTTCACTTATGCCAGTTCTTCTGTTCCACTTTTCTTTCCCCCCCAGATATAGCTTGTTTTACCTCACTGAATGAAGTAAGTGCTCCTGGAAAAAAAATAATATTTAAAAAAGCTCAACCTCCCCCAAAAACACCAATATCCATCTAGGCCAGGTCTCCTTATGCTGGGATTGCACAGGATCAGGCTTAAAAAACCACAGGCAGTGTCTGCCTCTGCAGACAAAAAAAACACAAAAAAGAGGGGAGGAAAACTTCAGCGTACTATGAAATTTATGAAGAGTATTATTTGTTGATAAACAAATCTTTTAAGCTACTCTACCCTTACAAAAGCTAGGCTGGAATGAACTCCTCTAACTAACTCCCAGGCATATTTTTGCTATATTTACAATATATTTACATTCTTGTCATAAATGACCTTTTATTTTTCTGTGTGATGTTTGCTCTTATTAAAGCCCAGTAACAGTGGAGGGCAGATTTTAGAAGCACGTCATAGAGAATATTCAGCATTTCTATTTCTAAAAAAAAAAAAAAGAAGCTTTGCATACAGCATTGATCACACTTCAAAAGATGTGTTATTGCCTAGAGTGTGGTTGCAAGGGAGTGCATTATCACTGATGCTACATTTTAATCTGATCACAATAAAAAACCCTTTTGTAAACACATTGCAGCTACATTGAGTGACTGCAATGAGAGCCCCACTACTTTCTTCCTGTGAAACCCAGCTCTGTGTGGTGCTAGTGGGAATCAGAGTGGTCTTATTCTGTCTGATTTATTTGAAGTTTCAAGGGCACACAGAAATAGCAAGTGGCAGATCTGCACTCTTTTCCCCAGTATGGACATATGTAGGTTAATAGATAGATAGAGCAATTGGGACTGAGACACATTATGTAAGTTAAAAAAGTATTGAGTGTGGGTTTTTCTCAGGGCCACAACAAAAGTTCTGTACAGGGGGCTGATACTGGAGTTCACATTTCCCTCCTGACTGTAGATCAGAGCAGCACCTCTGAAGTAAGTAACACTTAAATTAGTCTTCACTAAATTGCAATAAGTAGAGTAAATGAGATCCAGTTTAGGCCAGGTCATGGAAGGACTTTTTTTTTTTTTTTAATTCTCATGTAGTCCTTGGCTTCTCCAGCAAGCTTTTTATCACTACGGAATCCTAAACAGACTAAATGTAATGTGACAATTGCAGGAATTGGGAGTCTGGATTTGTTTGGGTTTTTTTCCTAATCAGTTTAATCTAAAAGCAGAAAGTCAGAATTATAAGTATTTCCTAAAATCATTCTACTTCTTCCTTTCCTCTACCCCTCCTCTAGATATCATTTTCTCTTCATATATCACATTGTCAAACACTTTCCTTTGGTCATCACAACAATAACACTTGATTTACTTCCCTTCAACAGTTGATTTTCTACACAGGTCAACATTTACACTTTTATTTTTTCTGTCACATTATCATCATGTTTTCAAGTAATTTAATGTATAATCTTGCAGCAACAAAACTCCCTTCTAAACCAGACTTCAAATATGATGGCTTTCAATGTCACTTCTCCCGACACCAGGCAGCTGTGAAATCAGCACAGGATGTTTCTGCTCTCTCCAGACAGCTGTACAGTTACAGAGCTCCATAAATCAAAGTACACAGTGAATTGTAAGACTAATACAGATTTCTAACCACTACAGGGATTTTAATATCAGGTATTTGCGTAGCTGCTTTGTCTTATTTACACGGAAAATAAAATTTGCATTATCCAAGCTGTGTGTTATATAAAAGATTCTTACAATCCATCCATTTACTCTAGGTCCTGCTGCAAGCCCTACATTCAGCTCCAGCACAGCCTTCTCCTTTGAGACCAACTCTTCTCTTCCTCTGACCCTTACTGACTTACAGCTTCACTTTCCAAAAGTGCAGACAAGAAACAAGCTACTGAATAAAGTCCTCCTAGATATTCCTCCTTTGTGGAGGTTAGGCACAGGAGCTTCACCTGTGCAAAAAACAAACCCTGCAAGACAGAGCTGCAGTCCTGCTAAAAGAAGTTGTTTTATCTGTGACTAAATCATGAATGGCATCAGCAGCGCACGTTCCATGCAGGAAATCTGCAGGAACAGAACCCCTTGCACCCAACACGACTCATACAAGGCAGCTGGGCAAACTCCAGTGATGTCTGATTCCTATTTTTATTCCTGTTTCAAACGTAGGGCTCACACCTGTTGAGCCACGATCCTTATGCCTTCACAAATCCATGTTTCAATCAAATCGCGTCTTTTCTGTTCCTTTCTTTTTTTTTTTTACTTCTCCCTGCCATATGCATAATGATGGGGTGACAGCTGAGGAGAGAATAGGCTGACATGTTCATCACTGTGAAGGATGGCCTCCTGTCACCTCAGCTGTGACAGAACGGTCACAGCCTGAAAGGGCCTAATGAATAAGGAAAGCTGGATTTTGTCCTTCCTCCATGGAAAGTTGCAACAGTGCCTTTTCCCCCTTCATGCAGCAACGCAATGTCACAATGATCTGCTTGGATCTGCTTCAGCAAGACATTCAGTGTCTATTTTTACAAAACTGAAGAGTTTAGTGAAACAAAGGCAGCACATTTCAAGCTGCCCCTCAGCAGAAGAATAACGTACAGGATGGATATGTCAAAAGGTAGTTTTAACCTACTCCACCCAAAGAGGCCAGGAGAAAGGTGCAGTGCCTCCCCATTCAAACAGCAGCTGTAAACACCCACTTACTTTCAAGGATACCCTTCCTGGAGCTGTTAAAGCCTGGGAAAGGTCATTTGTCAGGACACGATCCAGCAGTACATCTTGTCCTTCTAACAAGAGGGATTTCTTTCCACTCATAGTAGTGAGAGGGAAACGAGTACTGAGCTAAATTCCTCAAATTGGCAGTAACTAGGATGTTTATGGGTGTTCTAAGAATATGATCTGCACACTGGTAGCAGCTAGAAAAGATTTTGCAATTCATTTGGCAGTGCAGAAGGTCATTCCTTTGCAGATGGAGAGCATTTGGTGTGTCCTTATGCACACAGGACTGTAACTGTGCATTTCTTAGCCCGTGAATGTATTCTGATTTGTGTGGTTTCTATGTATTGTGTGCACGTGTTATCCAGAACCGGGTGCATTGCCACTGTTAATGACTCATCATGTGTAATTCCATGTATCAATCATGATTAATCTGTGACAGAGGGATGGTAGGAAAGAAAACCATATATTGCCAGATAAAGCATACAACTGATTCACCCTTCAAATATAGGAAGGATCTGAAATGGTTTTATGTGAGCAATTTCTTATACTTTTGCTTTTTCCAATTAAGTAGCAACTCAGTCTCAAGGCTACAATGAGTCTAGATGCAAGTCCAACATGACCAATGTGTTTTCTTCTTCTTGATTAAAAAATACAATTTAAATATATAGCATGTTCAGTAAAATGTTACAAAGATGTAAGGCTCAGACTGTTTTATTAACTTGCATGGTTGGGGGGGCACAGAATACTCTGGACTCAGCATAATATAATTTATTCAAATCAGATGTGAAGCACAGAACTAATACACTATATAAAATAGGTACTTGAACACTTTTTTTCCCAATTATGAACAAGCTCTAAATCTGCAAAATGTGCGTACACAAACATTCTAAAAAAAAATTTAAGTGGTTCCTAATAAATTATTTTATATCAAGCCTGTCCTTGTTGTGTTATGTCTTCTTGTAAACACAAAATAAAGCATTTAGCAAGTATAGTTTCTGGTTAAGAACCAAAATCAGTTTTCAAAAAAATTTGCAATTGGGATGTTTCAGCATTGCCTCATAGGAGAAACTTTGCAGAATTTCCCTCTGAAAGAGTGTCCCAACACGGGATAAATCCACAAAGCCCAACTGAGCAAGTATCCATAAAAACTCTTCAGAATAGCTTTTAGCAGTAGATTGAAATGAAATAGAATTAATAAAGCAGTTGTTTGGAGTTCTTAGCCATGCTAATTTTTCTCATTTAAAGTAGTCCAGGGCTTTCAGTGTGGAGGGCAAGTTCTGCACCATGCAAACTGCACTACAAATACACACTGTGCTCTAAACCACAAATCTTTACCTGATAGTGTAAAGATCTGAAAATCCAGCCCCCTGTCTTGCAGAAGTTTGCACCAAATGCAGGGAATTTCAATAGGAACATGGGTGTGGATCACTATGAAATACTGCCTTAAGCATGTGAAAAGGTGGCAACCAGCTAAAAGGATAAAATAAAAGAGTCAAATTTTATTTTGCAACAAATCATGGAAAATAAGCCTATAAAGAAATTACTTGCAGATGTTGCTTTTAGGATGGGAATTAAAAAGCAGAGGGCACAAGGGCAATATATTGCTCAATGTGTGAATTACATATGTGTAATTTAGTAACTCACTACTACATAAAATGTATAATTAAAGAGTTTAATTGCTTCCAAACTTATACAATATAGTCTAAGTAGCCCATATATCTACTGTGCTGAGAATGCCAGGGATTGCACAACGCAGAAAGGTGTTAATGTTGATTTATATGTACACACCAATTCTATGTAGAAGTGCTGTATGGAGAGGGCTCCGTGCTGCTACAATCTTTGGCTCTTCAGCTTGGAAAAGGCTGTTTTGCAAACCTTTAGTGCAGCAATTAGACAGGAGTTGTAGGAAAACTCCCAGGCTGATCAGCAAGTCAATAATTTCAGCTGGAAAATAAAATGATGATATTTAATCGCTCTGTTGTCTAAATGTGCAGCATTATTCCCTTCCCTAAGCAGCTCCTGTCAGAAACAGGATGGGTGATGCTGAGGGATTCCAAGGCTCCCAGGAGGCAGCAGCTCTTCTGCTGGTCCACAAGGGAACCTGGGAGACACTGTCAGAAAGCAATTGCTTCTGTCTCAATTCCATCTCCATTTCCTTGCAATCAAATTATTGCTCTTAAATGTTTTCGTTCTGACACTTCAGACACCTTCTGCTATCTAAAACACACCAAGTGAGTAAATTCTCAGCTGCATTTTGTCAGGACTTGGAAATCTGGATGATTTGGAAGTTACCCTTTGGGATTACACTGCTGTTGCTTTAGTAGGATGATTAATTTAAAGTAAGGAATGTGTTTGGAAAAGGGAGTTTGGCCCAGGAATAACCAATGCTGGACATCAGGCATTTTTGTTTTCTTTAAGAGTTAATCCTTCATTAGGGGGAATATTTTGAATTACATGGGGCAGCTTTCTGAGGCTGAAACACTCTGAATTTATTCCAGCATGGAATTTGTCCATGGATATCAACATACTGATATATCAGCCAATTATTTTGGGGGTTCTTGGGGTCAACAAGCTGACTGCAGCCCAGGACCCAGTTTAGATCCTAAATTCTCTTTTAAAGGAGAAACTAACTTTTTTTTTCTGTCATTGTTATTCTTTACCTGCCATAATCCTTCTTGGTGGATGAAATGTTGGTTTTTTTCTTCCCCACTGCTTGCAAAAAATAGTAAACAACATATCTATATAACAAAAGAGGAAAAACCTTTTAATGGGGCATGTGGACTGTCAAAAGTTACTTTGCATGAAAAATCACGCTGCAAATATGATATCATTTAGTAAGTTCATACACAAAGGAAAGTCTGCAAATTAACTGTGAATTAGAACATTCCTTTTATATTTGTGTACAACAGAAATTAATCTTAAGACATTTCACCCTTATTTTGAACACGGTTCTAAAAATTAAGGAAGGCAATAGATAACCATAATCTTCAGTGTACTTAAAATTTTAGAAAATATTGACATTGGTTTTCATAAGATTATACCCCAAATGTTGGTAACATTAAATTGTATAAACATCTAGTATGCACCAGACTAAAGTTTTAAGATTTGAAAGTCACATGTTCAGCAGCACCCAGAACTGGTGTTGCTACCCACACTTCTGCAAGTGTGTGAGTTGGCAAGGCAGGTGAGACAGGGGCTTTTTAAACACTTAAGAGTAAAAAATATTGAATCCAACAGCAGCTGTACTGGAAACAGTGGCATGAAAGCAGCAGTAGCCATTCCTGCTATGGGCTTGTAGGAACAAAATGAAATTGTCCTCTCTTCCCACACTGCAGACAAAGGCTTGTAAAGAACCTTTGGCACAGCGTTGCAAATTAAGCCTGTTAACAAGTATGTATCTTAGCTTTTGTGGCTAATTAAATGGAAAAAGATTTCCTCGGGAAGCAAAGAGCACAGAAATGCAAATGGAATGAACAGACAAATAAAGCTAATACACTGTTTCCACAAACATCAAAGACTTTCCTAAGTGACATTTTGTACACTATTGAGATTTTGTGCTGGTAATATCAGAGTTTTACTACTGTTTTGTGCCCTGTTTTAGGTACAAATCTGACACTACCTATAATGAGGAGCAGGAATTCAACAGACCTAATTGTAGCCAACACAGCTCAGCCATTTATCAGATCCCTGATACAAGTTTTTAAGTAGTAGAAAAATCTTGGGCTTTTCCACACAGAAATAGATTCTCTGTTGGCTGTAAAGCTCATTCTTACAAGAATTTAATTGTTATTTTTTGCACCACTGGCACAACAATTCTGCTAATTTCAAATCTGAAGCCTTAATTTAGAAACTTCTGGTTTGTCTCTGAAAAAAAAAAAAAAAAGAGAATCCTCACAGTGTGAGGGTCCATCCCTGGAAATGTCCAAGGCTGGGTTGAACGGAGCTTGGAGCAACCTGATCTGGAGGAAAGTGTCCCTACCCATGGTAGCAGATCCAAACCATTCTGTGACTCTGTGAAAAGCTGATGACATCATGTCAGTGCTACCTAGTCTGTAAATAGTACTTCCTATAATGGTTAAACATTAAATAATGGAATTTTATAACTCCAGCTTCAAAGTTCATTTTAAAAGACACTGTGAGCTTTGAGAAGTTCTTCATCAGTTTGTGCCATATTTGATCTCCATCCTGTGCACAGCAAATGGACTGAAATATGTTGGCTTACAATTAATTCTGTGTACTACTACCCCTGCATGCTGATAACCAGCTCTCACTGACCGCTCTTTAAATTAATGGCATTTTCACAACAGTAGTGTAAGATGATCCAGCTTTAAAACAACATCAAAATTAACTGGCAGAAAGTTGAGGCTGCTGTAGAAGCCCCCAGGTGCCCCATAATGGCCAATGTGGTTGCCTTTGTTTCTGCTGGTGTTTTGAGTTCACTCACCTGTTATTTTACAGACCATTCTGAAGCACTATTTTGGCCAAGTTCTCTCTCTTTAGAGCTTTCCTTCCACAGCATCTCTTATTTACCGTTTAATAAAGCCTCTGTAACATTTGACAACCAGAGGCTATGGGGAACTTTGCTGCTGCCACCAAAAACTTCCTCAGGAGCATCACCTTTGACACAAAAGTAGAGAAGAAAGAGCAGAGCAAGACCTTTCTCGGCACAGCCGCCCACCCCCAGCGGAGATAAGACAACAGCCCCATTACTGCTGACAGTGTAGGGCCTGCAGCACAGGGAGAGCAGGTGTTTAACATCACCCCAGCTCTGCTGGGAGAGCCCAGCCTGCAGGGCTGGCATTCAGCATCCCCTCTTTGATCTACACGGGAATTCTGCACAGAAAACGCCTCAGCCCCAGTGAGCCCCAACACAAGCAGCTCTCCCGTGCCCAACAGGATGGATCATCCCTCTGTAACCTGGCTTCCACCTGTGGTTTGCAGGGAATGCTTCTGCTGGAGAAGCGCTGTTTGACATTCCTCTTTTCCCCCAGCACGTGCCAGTCCATCCCGCTGGCAGCATCGATCGCAGCCGCCGCAGACCGTTCACGACTCTGAGCCCAGCCCCTGCTTGAGTCGCCTGCTAAAGCTGCCGGGGTCTCATCAGAAACACAATAAACAGCAAAGTGGAGGAAACAGCAAACACCAGACAGTTCAGCCAGAAGTCAGGCTTTTCTTCCAGCCCTTTGGACAGACGGGAAAGAACAGCTTGTACTGAATTTTTTTAACTTATTTTTTGTATCTAGTTCATCAATTTTCCTAACTAATTCAGCCTTCAGAATTTTCTACGCAATTTAAGCTCTGCAAGGTCACTACTTCCTAAAGGGATTTTAATTTTTAAAATTTACAGATTGTTATTCAGTTCAGACCTGTGAGTTCATAAACAATTTTTGAGCTACATGGTTTGTGGTTGTATTCTAATTGTGGCAAGATGAAAAAGGCCTGGCTTCTTTTTTTATTTATTTTTTTTTTTATGTAGCTTCAGGCAGAATATTTTTTCTTTCAGCTATACATTTCAGCTTTTTAAAAGCACCTGAAAGGTAAGAGAGATTTTCCTCCCACAACTAAAGTTGCAAGTCTTTCTACCTGCTGTGAGATGTGTCATATTAGAGTTTACAGATATTTTGAAAATATAACATCACTCTTTTCCCTGACTCCAGCAGGCACATGGATTCATGGTTTAATTGCAAGTGCTTTCAGTTAATGTCAGTGTGTAGGTGTGAGTGGGGATCAAGAGCTTAAGCACCAGGAGAAGTTCACAGCCATCCTTATTCCAGTTACACTCCCCATCTCGCCCATTTTCGTTAGCACTTCAAAGCAATGCTGACCAGGAGACAAATGATCCAAGAATGCATTAAAACATGTATCTACACTTACTGCACTTTTTACTGTTTTTATTATTTTTGCTGAACTTGTAATATCTTAATTAACCAGGAACACTTACAGAATTCTCCTTGGGTTCAATTTTCCCTAGTGAGAATGCCATTCTTCAGTTACTGCTCACCGGTGATGACATCCCACCAGCTGAAGCACCCCAAAAGTTCCAGTCACAGTGATTTATGGGCTTTAATGATAAACAGTATTTTATTTCTACTTTTCTTGACCAACTGCACCCATGTTTTTACACATGACACCATTTGGTGTCCACTGAGCAGAAATGTGTGATCCTTCTGCTAGCAGGTCTTGCAGGGCTGTCTCCTCACTGCTTATTTTCATTGTGAAACGTGCTCACTTCTGAGAATAACTTCTCTCAACTCCACAAAAGATGTATCTTCTTAAAGAGTACTTCAAACATGGCTTCCCACAAATTATTTTCATTTGCCCTAATTTCCCTTGATCTCATATTGAAAATGATCGATCCACTGTCATTCTCAGTACTTATTCCAATCTCTCCCTCAAAAAAAACACATCAAAAACTTCACATTTTTTCACCTTTTTTCAGACATTTCCAAACCAATGATCTCCCAGCTTGAACAAGAATTAGTGATGTAACCTATTTAATTTATCTTCGGGTACTTTTAACAACTTGAATTTTTCCTGAAGAAATTCTCTTCTCCATAACTACGGCACGTTTTTGGTTTGTTTTTTTTTCTAATGGGGATTTAATACTCTTTATTTTTAACTGTATTTTATACATGTATTACTGTGTATGTTAAAAATACATGCAGAGCAGGATCCTGTCAGCAGTTTTTGCAGTGAGTCACCAGCTTCACAGCTGCTGTTCTGAAATAATATATTTAATCTCCAGTTTTTCCAGCTGTGTCCAAACAGACCACTGCTCCTGTGCTGAAATCCCTTCATTTTAATGGGTACTGTGCATGTATTCCTGTCAGAAGCAGACTGCAGAATTAAGTCAGTCTGGCTGCCTGTTGCACATGTCAGGCTCTCATGGAGCTGTAGAGGTGAAAATTGAGAGAAGGTGAAAAAATTACACTGTTGACACCTTGGGCACAGTTACAGCACCTGAAAGTATGTGCAGAGTATTGGAAAAATAGAATTAATTAATTTAATTTCAGGCCAGTGATGTCTTCTAAAATAGAACAGAGAATCACAGAATGGTTTGGGTTGGAAGGGACTTCAAGGACCATCTAGCTCAACTGCCCTGATATGGGCAGGGACACCTTCCACTAGAGCAGGCTGCTCAGAGCTCCATCCAGCCTGGCCTTGGACACTTCCAGGGATGGGGCAGTCCCAGCTTCTCTGGGAGCCTTGTGCCAGGGCCTCACCACCCTCACAGCAGAGAACTATTCCAAATACTTAATCTTATTCTACTGCCACTTTGAACCCATTCTCCCTTGTTCTGCCACTACATCCTCTTGTCTAAAGTCCATTTCCTCCTCACCCAAGAGCAAGGCACTGTCCTGATCCCATCTCCACCAAACTCCTTCCCTTGCTCTGCAGAACAAGCTGCATGCACAGGATCTGTTTCCTTCCTGCAGAGGATGAAATACATCCCACAATAAAAGTAAATGAGGCTGTGCAGCACAAGGCCAGTCCCAGGGGGGTTGTGATTGACGGAGGCAATCGGAGACGCTGATGGCAAAGTCTTATACAGTCCACTAGGAATATTTACTCCGCGTTTCATATCTGCCACACAAGCCTTAAAACCTGTTTGCTGAATGTCACTGTTTCACTCCATCAACACCCAACACGATGATCAAAGTCTCTCCAGTGGGGATCTGCTGTTTCCTCTGCCTTTCCTCTGCTGAGCAGCACGGGTTAATACACTGGGAAACAACCCATGGCGTCTTATGAGCAAAAATCATCTCTTTGCCTTTCTGAATTTTGAGTTTAAAAATTAGGCAAATCAATATTCACTTGGAGGAGTGGTGCTTCTAACCAGGTTTAAATATTCCTTATTTCTCAATTTCCTTCTAAGTCATCAGACTTCTTAGAAGCCATGAAAAGGAGACTGTTTCAATAGTTTCAACTTTAAAAAAAGCACTCCATTTTCATTTCTATGATAAAAAAATTGAATATTTGGACTCCTAAGCTAAATAGAACTGTCAAAATATCTGCTGCTCTTTAGGAAATTCTATGATAACAAGCTTAAAAATAAAAGGAATTTAGAAGATTGGTTATTGCTGTTTTATTTACAGTTTCCCTTCTTATTGATAGTGAGTATTTAGGGAAATCTGGAATCAAAAATCAAGTCTTCTTGAATATTTATTGAAAACAAGAGTGATGTGGTCAAGAGGGTTGGGTTTTATTCACCCACCCTCGGTGTCACTCCTTCACGTGTCATTTCAAAATAACATTATCAACAGCACCTGTCTCCCTTGTGCTGTCAATGCCATTTGCTTTTAATTTGGGATTTGGTAGCTACAAGCACGTTTGCTGCCAACAGCAGATCCCAACTCCAAAGGGATCTTGGTAGATGCTGGTGCTCATTCTGTGTCTGAGTGCCAGTAGAAATGTGTGGGGTTCATTGCCCATCAAAAGCTTTTCACTTTGTGCTTTCTTGAACTAGAAGACTTCCTGTTAATAAGGATCTGCAGGCAGATAAATGGGAATATAACTGACTTTCCACAAAAAAAAAAACTTGATTTATCTCACTGTGGCAAGCATATACATACCACTTTGTGAATCTGGGCCAATCCGGGCAAAAAATGCTGGAGGCTTCAAGAGAGACTCCCGAGAGGATGCAGAGCTTCAAAGCAGGGCCAGAGAGGACCAGCACACAGCTTGGAGGCTCTCCTGCTCTGAGGAGAACAGGCCTGGGGCCACCAGGGCCCAGAATCAGCTGAACTGGCAGCGAATGAGAGAGATGAGCCCAGCACCTCTCCCTCCACCCCCATACACACAGAGCTATTCCAGCACACTCCTCCCAGAACACAGACATGTCTGAAAGAACATCCACCTCTTAACAAAAGGAAGAAAAAATAGAGAGGGGGAAAAAAAGTTGCAAATGCTCATGACTGCAGAGGCCAGCACTAAGCCTTTTGGAGGCACTAATTACTCAAATAAAGCAACGATGCTTTCCTTTCCATTAACGTTATCTTACCCATCAACACTCAAGGCTGGTATTTCTTAATATTGGCTTTTAGAGCAAGTTTAAAGGCTCTGAAGTCTCAGTCCCCAGCTTCTCCCCTGCTCTGGTGCACTGACTTGGCAGGTTCCTGCACCTCAGGAACCCCCTGTGAACCAAGGCATTTCGTGGATGCCAAAAGCTCGCTGTGCCTGTACCGCTCCTGGGGAGAATCCTTGAAGAGAAAAGGTAAGGAAACCCCAGGAGCTGTGCTAATTGATTTTCCATATAAACAAATAAGTCATTAAGTAAGGAACTCAATGGCTTTACTCGCATGAAGTTAATAGCTAAATGCTCAAAAGGAATTACACTTAAGTCCTGGTTAACTCTTAAATCTATATATGCTGCTTATGCTGAAAACTCTAATATATGCTAGTAAGGAACCAGAAAATGAAATATGCATTTCCTGTATTCATGTGAAACAAAAGCAAATGGAGTTATTTGTTGTAACAAAGCTACATGTTTCAGAATAAACAAAACCAACTGTGTGTATTTTAGGTTTGTTGGGGGAGGTATTTCAATAAAAGACACTCTGCTTTTAAGTACAATACACATGAAAAAACGTATTAATTAAGTTAAATGTTGTCTACTAAAAAGG